CAGAACACCTCTCCTAACCACAATCTGCCTGGACACGACAGTCAGTAATTGGAGTGTTTCTCTCAGTGCCAACTCCAAGGGAGGCTTAGAAGGCAGCAACAAGGGAGAAGACCTTCTCAGTAGTGCCCTCCCCTGCAACTGTGGAATTATCTCTCCTCTCAGGCCTGCAATGCACCAATGTTGTTATGTTTAAGGGCTTGAGGGGGAAACTCATGCTAGGTATTGGCAGGTCTACCATCTATTGTTTCATTTCAGCTTTCATTGTTGTTGAAATTTTGTAATTTTGAAAATATTTATGGTGTTTTATTGTATTGTCTGTTTAATGAACTGTTGTCAACCGCCCAAAAAGTTGACAGTCAAGCAGTATAGAAATGAAACAATAAATAACAACAACAATACATGCTGCTTGAATAATGCTGCTGCTGCTGCTAAAATGAGGATGCATGCAAATACTTATCTCTTTTCACAGGGATCCCTTTTTATTTCAAAAATAACAGTGAACGAAACCTGCCTATAATGAATAACTTAACTTTAATTGACCAAGATCTGGAGGCTCAGCTTGGAATACTAGCAGCTCAGCACACATACACTCTAAAACATTTGGCATTGCCGTGACCTTGCCATTTGTCTCTCCCTTACTGACACTGTATTCTGCCAGTACATGTCTTGAGTATAAATGTTGTATGTAAACGTTTTTTAAAAGTTAGATCACTTTTCTTTTAAGTGCTGACAAAAATAATGAAGTTCTAAATATCACTTAATTTGTGCAGAACAATTTAATGCAAAACTGCATTTAAAAAGTTTAGAGCTATAGACGATTGATTGATTGATTTATACCCTGCCTTTTTCCTACAAAGGGCTCAAGGCAGCTTACATCATTCTCCTCCTCCAGCTTATCCCCACAACAACAACCTGGCCAGGGCGACTTATTTTATATTGTTATTTTTGCATTTTAACTTAATGTTTGTATTTTTAATTTAATGTTATAATTATTTTTTAACTTAACATTGTAAGCCGCCCCGAGGCTTCGGCGAATGGGGCGGCATAAAAATGTTAAGAATAGAATAGAATAGAATAGAATAGAATAGAATAGGTAGGTTGGGCTGAGAGTCTGTGACTGACCCAAAGTCACCCAGTTGGCTCCATGGCTGAGCAGGGACTAGAACCCAGATCGTCTGAGTCCCAGTCCCATGCTCTTAACCACTACACCCCACTGGCTCTCACAATGGCTTGGATCTTAATGCAGCTTAACAAAGTTCATGCATTTCCTCCTCTTCAAAGACACCTGTGCTTCCCCTCCTCAGCACAAGATTTCCTGGTCAGTCAGATAGTCCCCTGAAAAATGTAGAATGGGCTGCAGGGGTGAGAGGAACCACCCAATAGGATATTTCTTAGGATATGTATAAACCACCATTCATGAAAAGATAGAGGATCCTAAGATGAATGAACTTACAGAATATCCTATAGACATCTAGGCCATATGACAAAGCACAGCAATGCTAGAACTTTCCAAGACTTCAGTATCTTGCAGGTAAGACTTGGGCAGCATGGAGAAGCATGAAGAAGCCTTCCCCTCTCCTGTCCTTCCTTAAAACCATTCAGAGCTAAGTGTGTCTCTAAGCCTCTCTAGCTAGCTTACCCCGCACTGGGGACTGATTGGGATGGAAACATTTGTGGTTCCACTGGATCATGTCTTGACTCTTCCCCAGCCATGGCACACCTTCTTTCCACCCTGTCCTTGTGAAAGGTCTCAAAGAGCCGCTGTGGAGCTTTCCATGGCAGCTGGGAGGGATGGGAATCCTCTACTTACCACCACTCAGAAACCCTGCTCCAAATGATGGCTCTGTCTATGGCCTCCATGGATGGGTCTGTCATATCATGTGACAGCTGGGGTGCCTTCGCAGAGACTAAAGGATTGCTCCATTAGGGAAGTTCAGAGGAGTTTCCACTGCCCTTCTCCCCTCAGCAGCCCCCTAACCGCTGCAAAGGTAGGGGGGTTAAAAAACATTTTTTCATGAAAATCCTTGTGTTAAATTATCTTCAGATCAAACCATATTTCTTTAAAAACAAGCTGTTGACAAGTTAAGAAAACATTCCATACAGGCTTAATGATGTGTTTATTTATAAAAAATCACACCAAATCACAGACTAATGCTTTTTATTGATTTGCATAAAACCTGCAATCCTTTTAATATAAAACCTATTGAATGACTGGTACATGAAATCTTAAAGAGTGTCCATATGAAACCCAGAGGAAGCATGAAGTTTCATCTTGATCAGATTAGATGGTGAGTGGAAACTCCATCAGATCTGTGCTAGGCCTGATGCTGCAGTTCACTTTGGTTCAAATTGACTCCACATTGCAAAGCAACCCCAGCACAAACCCCACAACCTTAGCATCAGCCCTTCCACTGATACTATAAGAAGATATACACCCCTGTGCACACAAGCACATTTCTTTTTAGCCTTTCTACTACCACTGGAAGAAGTTGTTACATACATGCAGGCTTACAGCCCGATGCTCTATGTGTTTCCTTAGTCCCTCTGTCTGGGTTTGCCCAGGCATGGTTTGCCCAGGATGGTTTGAGTTCAGTGAAGCTCTTTCCCAAGTAATATGGCTTACTTTCCAAAATATCCTGCAATTTGTTGTTGCCTCATCATCTGAATGGAAAACTCAACCTCTCCCTAGTGATGAGATGGTATCCTGCAGTCTTGCTGTTTGGATACAAGGACTTGCATATGAAACAAGCACATGGTTAACTGTCTACTGGTCCCTCCTCCAGTTCAAAGAGGCTGGAGATTAAGTTGTAGAATAGTGCACAGGGCCACTGACATTTACTGAACTTTACTGTACTGTATTGTACTATACTTGATTAATACAGCAATCCTTAAACAGTTGCTACATTTTTAAGAACAAGGATTGCTCGCAAGCTAGGAAATATCTCTGAGGGAGTAACCCTATGGCTGCTAGACATTGTCTAGATGGTCATGAGAAAAGTTGGAGTCCCAGCTCCAACCTAGAAAAATACTCTGAAGACAGACCTGGAACTCTGATTTTGGAGCATCTTCCCTCTGCCCTTGTAGTTAGTGTGATAATTTCTGTTCTGGCGGCAGCTCTGATGTCAGAAGACCAACTCTGGAGCTGGTTCTAAGAGGGTGGGGTAGGTCGAGAGAGGCACTACCACAGAACAAGGAATCCTGGTAGTGCCTCAGCCACTTGTCCTTCTTAGCCAGCAAAAACATTTAGATGGCTGTAATGGGCTGCCTAAGTGTGGAGGGAAGGGACATGTGAAGGCAATTGTTGCCTCTGTACTCCCTCTGCCCTTCAAAGGAAGGCCATTGTACTTGTAGGTTCTTGGGTTACAAGCAGCCATACTGGATACACTGCCTGCAACACAGAAAACTAAGCATGCAGCAAGAGAGATGTAGAAAACTGTTTACACTGCCAAGTAGAAGACGAAAATAAGCTCCACTTTCTCTGTAACACAATACTCAAAGTTTAGGTTACCATGTTGCATTGCTACACATGGAGAGGAAGATGAACAAGCCATCACTGATGCCCTTAATGAGAAATTCAATTCTCCAGGCGAATTACATTCTTCTTTATGACATTTTCCAGTCTGGAAGATGAGGAATTATTTTCATTTCCCTTGCAAATCACCACTGAGATACTTAACAACAACAACAGATTGTATTTCTATACCGCACAACAGCCAAAGTTCTCTGTAATATGGGAAGAATTACCCACACCAGATTGTTATTCATGAAGTCATGCCCAACCCATCACGACCCCATGGACAACATTCCTCCAGGCTCTTCTATCCTCCACCATTCCCTGGAGTCAACCTAAGCTCACACCAACTGCTTCACCTCATCCTCTGCCGTCCCCTTCTTCTTTTGCTGCCTTAAACTGAGTCGGACCATCTAGCTCCGTGCTACCTACACCAGGGGATAGACAACCGATGTCTTCTACAGTCATGGGATTATAATTCCTTTAATTCTGGATCACAGCCATGCTGGCTCAGGTGATAAGAATTGTAATCCAAAACATCTAAAGGAGATCAAGGTGCTTACCTCTGGCCTACACTGACTGGCAGTACCTTTCTGGAATTTCAAGTAGTGCAACCTGGAGGTGCCAGGGAATGAATATGTAACCTTTCTGCATGCAAAGCAGGTGCTATACCAACAAGCTATGACTTTCCATGAGCTTTCCTTGGTACTTTCATGTTGTCCACAAAGACATAAGTGTGCTTGGCAAATATATCAATGCAAATTGGCTCTAAGAACCATAGTTAAGAAGCAGATAGCAGTTTTCGTGTCTTGCTTCAGTTTAAGCTCCATACAATTTGACACATTTTCAGGGGCAAACTAGTGACTCTGTCAGTATCGGTTGTAGTCGTGATGCTACTTATTCCACTTGACTCATGGCAATGTACATATACAGGGCCAAGTGGTGGATAGCTGAGCTACTCCTTGGGAACGATGCATGAGAATTTTAAAGACATACAAGCCCCAGTGATCCAATGGCCAAGGTTCTGCCATCTGCCTGATGCATGAAAGGTAAAAAGAAAGTTTATTAATCTGATCAGATCTATGAACCTACAGTTAAGAATAAAATACCCAACACTGAACTATCACTGACCAATACATTAAAAGGACAGGTTCCTACATATGGCTTGCAGTATATCCACAGTAGAACCTGCTAGCTGATCTATGGAAGCGGTGAGCTTCCCTTAAGGGTTCAAGGCTCTTCTGTGGCCCCAGAGTGCCTCTTTGAAACCTACCTGTTTCATTTTTTTTTCCAATTTGAGAAGTGTAATTTTCATATTTACTGTCCATGTTGTACAAAATTAGTGTAAAATACCTATGTACACATTACACTGAATCAGTATCATTCACTACTTACCTATAAAATATTTTATATGTCCTCCATCACATATAAAATGGGAAACTATAGTCATAGTTGCACAGAATTCCAATGCACATAAATAAAATTCACATTGAATTCAGAAGCAATTTTATTTGGAACTCTTTGCTCCTTCCAGTCAAAAATGTACAGTATCTTTGTAAAATATAATTAGCAACCAAGACATAATGAAAAACAAATCCTTCAAAAAACAAACAAGCAAAAATGAAGATTAAAATAAATACTTGCACTCTGATTTGTTCAGGTTCATGCACAGAATAGTAAAAGTAACAATGATACAAGCAGATGCTCAACAAAACAACAGGTAACCCTAAAATATCTCCATTATCTTTTTGAGCATTTCCATGCAATAAAATGCTTAATGCTGCAGAAAACACTAAAATATGATGGGATGTGCCATATAGGTCCTCTATCAAGGGAGCTCCTTCCCTAGCAGCTTTTGCTCATTGGATCTGAAGAGCTCTAGGGAAATTAGTAGATATCTGCATGGTACATTTATGTTCTCTTCACCCCTCCAAGACCAGAAGAGAGAGTTGCAATGCCAAAAGAGAGAGGGTGGAAAGTGATTGGAGAAGAAGGGGGGAGGGGGGAGATTCCATTGCACCCAATTTAAGGCTTCTGAAGGTTGCCTGAAATAAAAGTTCCTGTTTCAACTGTCCAATACTGAAACTTTCTTCATCCATCTTTACAGACACCCTTTTCCTTTCTTTTTTCTGTCTTATGTCAGGAGGGCAAATGGGAGGAATGGTTTGAGAAAAGGGTTTGTGGTCCTAAATCCATGGCAGACCACCAAGGATAAGGTTGCCAGGATGTCTCAGTGGCTGCTCTTGTACTCAGTTATTCAGATGTAGTAATCGAAGATGCACAAGTAATTTGCATGCCCACATATTTCCCTGTATTGTGTAATGGAAGCACTCTATATAAATTATCTGCATTCTAAAATGATGCAGTTCTGTGAGAGGACTGTATCATTCACACAGTTGCACTTTCAAATTGGCTTTGACAAAGAAGTAAACACAAAAGAACAAAAGCCTATCTTGCTAGAGATAATGAATTGCTAGTGATAGTAGTGAATTTTTATACATAGGGTAGCCAAAGTTTATGCTTCCATAAGCGATCTCTCTTAGGAAGCTGACTGCAAATTCTGAGAAATGCCATTTTAAAGAATGAATATATACACTAGATGCATGGGTGGGTGTGGTTCTCCAGATGTTTTGACCTAGAACTCCCAGTATCCCTCACCATTGGCTACCATGCCTAGGACTAATGGGAGGTGTGGGCTACAGTGTCACAAATTGTTCACCCATTACTGTGTAGATCCTCTCATTCTGTGCAAGTTCTGTTAGGCAACCAGCTCCCATTCATTTTGTAGGAGTGCTGGTACTGTGAAGCAGAAATTCTCAAAGGCCTCTAATGAACAAGCATATCAGGGGAGGGAGAGATCTGCAGGTTTCTCTTTTAAAAGACCCAGTACTTATGGAAGCACTGTTGGTACTTTAAAAATAATAGGCAGCAACACGACACCTGAGTTATGAATCAAAATGCAAACTTGGCTTCCCACCTTGATCTGCAACCTTGATTTGGTAACTGGGTTTATGTTGGTCTGCGATAAGCTCCTGCAGCGTCAGAACTTCCTCTAACAGTCCAGTGGAAGTCACTGAGAATCAACTGGCTTAAATCCAACATTCTTCTGTTTAAATTGGCTGCAGCAAGGACTGTCCTTCAGATCTCCCCAGTTCACATTAATGCTACTGCTCAAGTAAGCCCTCGGAAATGTTTTGTCCTTCTCAACTACTCAGCTGCACTGTTTGTCCTGACCATTCTGAAAAGTTATTTAAAGAGGAGGGCCACGTTGGTTAGGAAAGGGGATGAACTATCTGAACTATTTTCTCTGAAGCAGCATTGCCTGGAGTGCTTTGATGCCTGCAGTCATATATGAACAGGGTTATATTGGCTTCTTTAAAACAGCTAAGTGCACAAATTAATGCAAGTTCAGATAAAACCAAGGCCTGCAACTCCCAAGATGTTTTTGTGGACTTTTTTTCTGTCTAAATTTGCATAAGATTGCCCCTTAAATAAAGGTTTGTAGTTGTTACTTAATATCACTGATGACAAGAATGAATTGTGCACAGGGCCACAAACATATTTGGGGCAGCGTTACTGTCTTGCTGCCACTTGGTTTTCATTTCAGCATCTTTGATGTAAATAATAGAAAAACCCTTTGCTTTTGCAGTCATGCCTGGTAAGACCTCTGGCAAAGGCGATGAGAATTTGGATCTGAAGTGGAAAAAAGATTGTTTAAATTTTGGGAAGCAGGAGCAAACTACAACTGCAAGATGGCCCTGAACTTACACCAAGTCCTAAATGTTTTTGCTCAGTCAGGCATCCTCCTTTAACAGTGAGAGGAAACAAGCCATTGGGATCAAATGACATTTTCCATGCTCAGCCCCTTCATTTCTTATATAGCACTTCTTTCTGCATTATTTTAAAGCACTAAGCCACAAACCCTCCTGATGAGGTAGATAAGCAAAGAACTCCCATTTTGCAGATGGGAAACCAAATGAAGGAGAACCGCATATATGCCTCACAGAATTCTCTTGAATTCTCACTTCTATACAGTCATTGCAACTTAATTCTTTTGGACATAATTGCAGAGAAGACAAGGAAATAAAATTCAAAGTAGGGGAATGATCTAGCTGTAGCATTATTTATTTCAGTGACAGAAAACTAAACATGTGCTTAAGGTCAATGGGACTTAAAATATCCAACCCTTTATTAGACCATGCCCTAAAAGCATCACCAGGTCTTCTTATATTTAGTGTGAAGATGCTCAGAAGCTGAGCAGTTAGCCATCTCCCATCTATATGTGCACAGGCATAAGGATAACTTGCACTGGGTAAAGGGAGAAGGATGGGTAATAGTGCAGAGAAAGTCATGGACCTCTTATTCTCCACAAGGAGAATGTGCTGCATTTGCAAGCATAGGCAGGAGCTCGGGGGGGGGGGGGGTTCTAAAGTGTTTAGCATTATGGCCGTGCTGCCTGGGAAGGATAGTTTATTTTTCAACTTTTATTTATTTATGTTTTGTTTCTCTACCACCCAACTGAATCTCTCTGTGGGAGTTACAGTTCAGCACATCTGCACGGCACCAGACTGGGGTAGGCTGGACTGTAGTGACTTCACAGCTAAGCTGAGAAGAGAGCAAGTGAACTCCTATTTCTTATTCTATCCTCTAAGCACTTAGGCAAAAAACTATGGTGTGCATATCTGGTAATTAATATGTGCATGATACAGCGCTTGTAAGGCAAGAAGGCAAAATCCAAATGAGTTCAACTAGTTTCATAGTTCAACATCCCCTTACAATTGTGCGGTCTGGAATCTTATATTAAGATGAATATTATGTTTCTTGGGTCAAACACAGATAATGTCAATTCACACTTCTATTGGAAACCACTAACCAGGCTAGAGCAGAAAAAGCAGAGAAAGCATTCAAATGATGATCAGAACTTAGAAAGACAGAATGATAATATACAGAGCCAAACTTTGCTACACAGAGCCAAACTTTGCATTCAAAACTTTTTTGAAGTTTTCAGAATGTTGGTCTTTTTGTAAGCAAGAAAAGCTGATTTGGGGACAATAAGCATGTCTGTACAAATGTAATTACACTGATTCCAATGAATCCACTTCCAAATACATGAGTAGTCATGCAGGGTAGTCTAACTCTCTGAAAGCTGGCTGCCAGAGATAAGGATGGGATGGGAATGCACTGAGTGTTCTATCAGTGAAGCAGCTTGTTTACCTAAAAGGTTCTGGATACAGCCATGGAAAGCTCCATGGGGACAGGAGCATGACCGGCAGTATTCCTGTTGGTAGTATCCTTTGCTGCCCCTAAATTGGCCTCTGCCAGCCTTGACTTGGCCTAAGTGTTTTCCCTTTGCTTGGGTGAGAAAAAGAGGGGGGAGGGGGAGCGATTCCCATATCTGCCTTGGCTCCAAAGGCTTTGGAAGTGGCTGAAATGCTCCTGTCCGCAACTCCAATTTTCGTATCTACTCAGAATTACCTCCCTACTCCCCTATGGCCTAGGAAAGGTGGCAAGCCCAGCACATTACAGGAAGTCTAAGAAATACGGTAAAATGCAGAATATTAAAATCCCTGCAAAAATCCATCCCATAGAAGGTAGATTTCTCTGGAACTTCCAGAAGACTTTGCTACCATAGCCAATGGTAAGAAATCCTGAAAGTTGAAGTCCAAAACATCTGAAGATCTACTTGCAGCCACTCTTGTCCTAGAATATTGCTCATAGACCAACCACCTACTGTGTAGACTCTGCATATGCCTATGGATAAATGGAATGGTCTCTTGAGACTATCCAGGGTTTGTCTCTTGTTCACAAAAAAATTAGCACGTATTTTGCCACTGACTTTGCAACAACTTCGTGCCTCCATATTATAAACATTTGCCCTTTTTTGCTCATATTTTTAAACTCCCTATTAAATAAAAAATTGTGTTGGTATTACTATTATGTGTGGACTAAACACACATTGTTGGTTTTTGATTACCACTGAAATCCGTGGGACTTTTTAGTCATGATTTAACCGAAGTTCTATTGTTTCCAGCAGGACTACTCTAAATATGATTACATCTAGATCCATCCCTTGAACCCTGGAAATTCTGCAGACTAATATAGGCATTATAAAAATGGCATTCTTTTAAAGTTTTAAAATGGTAATCTAACTGGATCTATTTGCAAATCACTACAATAGCTGCCTTGTCACAAATGATTTTTATAAGGACCCTCAAGATTGTTAGCGTGCTTCAAATTCACAGCAAACATCTGTTAAAAAACGCCTTCAACATGACCCAATTTGAGCAAAAAAAAAATCTGTAACTGTGGAGGTGAAAGAGCAGTAAAGTAAATGGCTGTTAGGACAGCTAGCACCAAATCAACACCATCAGCTTTTATCTGTTATATATATATAGATAGATAGATAGATAGATAGATAGATAGATAGATAGATGTTGCCACATGGTCCATGTATCAAATGTATTTTTACAGTTTGTTACAGTCTTTCTGACTTTGCAAGATGTCCCTTACATTGTAACCGATAAGCACAAAAAACTCATTATATAATCCTCTTCAGAGGCTCTCTTTATATTTAACTCGGACCCTGAGCTTTCTCCTAGCATTAACTCTTTGCCTTTTCCATTATCTCATACTGTTCCTTATTGGCTGGATACTCTAGTGGCATCTCCTGAAGAAATATTTTAAATAAATTATTTATTTTGAAGGCTGCATGAGTCATTTGGGGCAAATCATTAAAGCAATTATGTTGTGCTGGCTGCATTGCACCCAAATATTTATTTTTAGCAAACCTAATGTCAGACTTGTTGTGCATGTACCAAGAATTTATGCAGAACATGATGCAGGTGAAATGCTGCAGCTGTTCCACTTTTGGCGATCCCTTTGAAGCCAGGAGAAGTATAATGAGAGTTTACAGGGTCAGAGTTAGGACACTAGGAAAACTTAAGACCAGAAAACCAAATCTAGATTTACTGCAGTTTTGCTCTGGTATATGCATAGTTTTCAGGTCAGATCCACTTCATACATAACTAGAATTAAACCTAAAAAAGGTTAAGATTGCAGAGTGTGGTTAATAACTCAAACCCTGAGACATGTTTTTCACCTTACAAGGCTGAGAGATTGCAGGGGCAAGGAAATGACTTTAAACATGGCTTGCTGGTGGGGGGGGGGGGATATAACACTTCAGCATGGCCAACCCAAAGTATACAATTGCAGGTTTCCCATTCTAGTTAACTGATGTTTATGTTGATTTTTTTATCTTACCAGTTAGGGATTTTAAAGTTCTGTTTATTATTTTAATGCATGATTGTATTCAGTTTGATTTTTGCTGCTCAAGAAACCATTTTAGGGTTTAAAAGCTGGAAATAAATACTTGTAATTTTTTTTAAAAATGGCTTCTATCCATGGTTAATCATTATGGGCAGATTTTCTGTATATCAACTGTGGTTATGGAAATTGACTTCTCTGGTCACTCTTCTAGCCTCTTGAAAATGCTACAGAGTCAGGTGATCCTGCTGAAAGAGGTGGATTGTAGTGTGTTGGGAGGGGAATATCCAAAATTTGGGAAGAGGCATCTTCTGCAAACAGAACCCTTTCGCTTGCATAAACTGCCTCTCATGAAAGACAGTTCCTGGATCGAAACCTATGTTTACATGGTCATGTGGAGTGACATGAGAGGGACTCTGTGTGCAGGCATTTATCTGTACAGTTTGGACCAAGAAAAGGCTATTTATTTCTCAACTCAAGACAAGAATAAGCTAGTGATAAGTAACACCATATATATCCAATGAAGCAAATCAGTGGTTTGCTACCTGAGCTTCAAACTGCAATTTCCTTACTGTGTGACAATTCTTAAAGCCCATGTACTAGCTACTGTGTACCACACTGAATCAGAAAATAGCAGAAGAACATGGAAAGGATAAAAATGTAACACAATATTATATTCTTTCTTGAAGCATTGGCAAATCTTTCAATCCCCAGATTGACTGTGTTATTAGCCTTACATTCAGTTGTATTTAAGTCAATCCAATCCCAAATTTTAAGAAAATCTCAAATGTATGCAAAATAAGCCCTTAACTGTGGTAATTCATGCCATCACAATCTCCTAAGGTTTGCAATGCTAATTAAGTGCCTGGAGCAGATAAGAAAACTTCATTATCTGATTTGTTCCTAAATTATGAAAATTAAACATCCGAGAAATACTAGTTTGGCAACTTCATGCTAGGTTCTCCTTTAGACATTGTAGTAGTTGAGTCAATTGTTGTAGAATGGTGTCAGGTAGACAGCAGAATGTTCTGGGAGGTCTTCCACTTGTTTCTAAATGTTGCCATTTTTATATTAGACATATACTCACTCTGGGGGAAAGCAGCTGTGCTAGGTAGAGAGCCGAAGGGCACTATTTGCAAGCAAGGATAGGCTTCTGTCCAAGGCCTGTGTAATGACATAGGCCCATATTGGGCAGTGATATTTATCTCTTCCAGTCCTTGGGTGACTGGTTTGTCCTCTCTCACAGACAGCCCCCTAATCTAAAATAGCTTCTTATCAGGTACAAGAGGACACCTAACAGCAACACAAATCCACTGACCAGGCTCTGCCACAAATGCAGATGTAAACTCTGCCAACATATTCATTGAGACAACAGCAATGCTCCATTAAGGGCCCAATCCTCTGCGCATCCTCTAATGTGACATGAAATCACCTGCAGACAATGCTGTTTTGGTGTCTTCCTCAGAATAAACAGGTGCAACTCTGGCATAGAAAAATGGGAACATTTAGAAAACAGTGGGAGAATATTTTAGTCCCCTTGGCTCTCCTCTTGAAGCTTTTTCAGTTGGAAGTTAAGACCTACCCATTTATGATTTGTTTTGTTTTACTGTTTTGTTTTTTAACTTGGTTGTATCTTGGTGCCCTAAAGTGTCAATGTTGTACTTACGTTGTTATTTAAAAACAAAACAAAACCCTGCACCACACTTTGAGAATCATTTTGATTATGGAGTGGGGAAAAACTGCCTAATAAACAAACACATTTCCCAGGATACTGTGCTTTTTATTTGAGTCACTTTTCAACAGATTAACTTCAACAGGGTTTCCAAGGGAAAGCTGCTAGATGAGAATTGATCATGAAAGCTTGATTCTATTCATTTAGGGCTCAACTGGACCCAAGGTTAGGGATGGAGCAGAACCCTTTCAGTGAAATTTCCCTATGCTATATTTTTCCACAGAAAAATTTCCACATGATATAAGTCCACATTTATCTATAGCTGTCTGGGCTGTTGAACTGCAATCGATGATGTTAGGTGGGATAAAGATAGGATAGAAAATTCTCTAAGTTTTCTTTAAGGCAAGAATTGATGAACCCTACACTTCTCAGTTGCCCATGGGGAAACTGCAAAGTAAAGTATTAATAACCCATGTTTGCACACACTGCAGTTTGCTCCTGGCTGGCTCTGGACCAGACTTACACGGGATGTGCTTGCCCTGTATTGCTAACATTCTTCAATAAAAATGAAAGAAAACTGATGCTAAGGAAGTGACTACTGTCTGTTTCCCTCAAGATTGTAAGAAACTAAGAGCCATGCTGGATCATGCCAAAGGTCCATCTAGTCCAACATATTGTTCATATTATGGTCAACCAGTTGCCCATGGGATCACACAAGCTGAAGAGGAGTGCAATGCCACCCTCTTGCTCAAGTTCCCCAACCTGTGCCCACAGACTGATATTTATCCTCTATGAAATAGAACATTCAGCTCTGAATCAGTTTTTTCCCTAACTTAGAATGGAAATGATAAGCAGTACAGAGAATGGATGAAGCTGAAGTTACCTAAGCAAAAGAACATTAAACTGTTGATATAAGATGTATCAGCTTTCTTTAGATAAATGTTCTAAAAACAGTGTTTTCTTTCAGGTGTGGCTATTATTAAATATGAATAAACAGCACAAGGAAGTATATGCTATTGTCTTCACATTTTTAAAAATTTCCAATAAAATAATTTCCATAAAATTTTGAATGTGTTTGAGTATAACATTTAAACTATACTGTGTAATTAATTTCTTCTTCAGCAAGTATTTCAGTTCAAATATTTTGTAACTATTGTATTTTGTATGTTGATATATTTATACTGCAGTTAAAATAGATACAGATTACATTTTTAGTTTGGTTTACTAAATGTGAGCTATTTTGTATATTTATTGAGGGAGAATGTGTGTGTCAGGTCTAAAATGAATCAAACAACATACTAAATTGGATTGCATTATTTAGAGCATTGAAAAAATCCAGTTCTACTTTTCCCCCAGAAAACCCGTATTACTACCCAAGTTTCTTTCTTCCATTCTGGGTATTCAATTAAAATAGCATTACTACAAAAATTGTGAAATCTCCAGTTACTGGTACTATGTTTATCTTGTATACATGTGAACTTTGCATTAAAATGTCAGCGATTGTCTTGTCTGCAATCTATGGCTTTTTTTTACTTTGTGAAAAAGCCATCAAAGTGTTAATACAATTTCACCAAAACTTTGCCTTTTTTAAAATCTAAAATTATGATTTTTGCCTTCAAGAATAGAACAATTCTCTCAGCCCTCTGTGTCAACCTTCCCTAACCTAGTAACTTCCAGAAGTTTTAGACTACAACTTCGCATTGCTCTCAGCATGGTAAATGGTCAGGGGTGACTGAAGTTGTAGCCTCAAACATTTGGACAGCCATAGCTTGATCTGTACCAATGCCAACTAAGAATAATACTTTGTGCAATTGAAGTACAAAAAAGCATATAACTCCATAATAAATTTGTTGCAGTTTTAAAAGTACTTTTTTCATACTGAAATACAAAGCATGGGTCAAATAGTGCTTTTCTACATCTACCGCTCTCTCAGTACAGTACAGGTTTGGATTTTAACTCTATGTCTATGAGTTTTATTTCATGGGTTTTATGGATGCCTTTTTTTACACAATTAACATATACAAAATGTTGTATCAAAGTTGTAGTCCTGAGATAACAGTTGCTGTCAATATGAACATAAATTCTGGCACCTTTCATGGACTTGTCAATTATCCTGGGTCATCCACAGGTTACCCTGCAGTGCTTCCAGACAAGGCTTTCATGCAATCACACTGCCTCATTCAAAGTGGGTGGCAGAAAATGTGTTTCCAGGTGATGTCATATTTGTAGCTTTCCCATGTATTCTTATATTTTCTTACATCTTTTTTAATTCGAAGAGAATATGTTAAAGAAGAAAAGATGGAATGGCTCTACAATGCCTTTTGGTTAGGAGATTCTGCCACCAAGAGATAACAAACTTGCTGTTGTCACATATTCAGGTACAAAAGAGAGATAAAGCAAGAATTTCACATGGACTGTTGAAAAGCTCTCTCTCTGTCTCATTTCAGCTCTGACTCACCCCCTTTATGTGCAAATGAATCAGAAGATGAAATGAGTTTACTTATTCCAGTAAAAAACTGACTGACGTGCAAGCAGATCCTGACAATTTCATAAACTAGCTGATGCTTTGGTCCTGTGTTAGTGCTACTTTCTGTAGAACTCTTGTAACCTGACTCTGTTATTCACGTTCAAAACACTGTTCATTCTAAAGGGGACATCTGTTGCAGCTCTTCTTTTGATGCATGTGCCATGAAATACCTTTTGTAACAGCCATGATATGCATTTTGTAACTGGGATTCAGAACTAGGGTACCAGGCATATTGTGAGAATCAGGCTGTATACATGTGGATTGTTAGGATGGCTACATCAACCATTCAGGTGTTGTTCTCACAGTATGACCAACAGCTTCTGATCGAATAATAATCTGGCTCCAGTGTAAATGAATTACTTAAAGACATCTTTTGTATATTCCATTTTACACTGTATTGGTCTTCGTGTCAAAACTCCAAAAGAAATTATCACAATTTGCTTGTACTGAAAACCTTGTTTCAGTGCAAATCATTTCAAAACTTTAACAGAAAACACACATGCTCATACATTTCCTTGACAGAATAATATGCCAAGAATTGCACGTGGGATCTGGTTTTAAATCTCAGTTTTTCATCAGTGCAGGTCTAGCGCATATTGCTAATTGAAAGAACATCTCCTCCAGCAGGCAGTCTGAAATCAGTAGCTAGCATCGTGTGGTCCATGCATATTGTTCCCCTAAACCCTGGCCCTAAGTGCATTAACTGGAAGTCAGTCAGCAAGGCTTACTTTCAAATAATGCACTGAGGATCAAATCATAGGAGGTTTCCAGCAATAGTCCTAAATGGCTTCTCTTTGTATCCTAAGCAGCAATAAATAAATAAAGTGGTATACAGTACTCTGTGGTTTAAGTGCCCTTCCTTAAAATCTAAAGGTGTTTCAAGAGAAACAGTAGTTTTCTAAAGGCGTTCAGTGCTCGACTGGGCAAACTCAGTGCTCTTTTGGGTTAGCACCTTCCTTTGAAGGATACCAGGGCTCCTTCCCAGAAGCTTTGTCTAGCTCTGCGGCGGCTGCGGCAGCAACAGCAGCCCCCGGAGGCCATCAGAGATGGTCGCAAGTAACTCAACCGAAACGCCTAAGGGAAGGAGGATACCTCAGTCGTCCTTGCAGGCTTCCTGGGAGTTTAGAAACCTCCGGACCACCAGGGCCAGGCAGAGCAGCAAGAGCAGCATGTAGCCCACGGTGCCCGGAAAGGTGGGGAGGGCGGGCGGCGAGGCGCGCAGGAAGTGCTGCAGCCCCTCCTCGACGTAGAACATCTGGTCGTGGATGCTGAGGAAGGTGAAAATGTGGAAGAGCTGGTGGCTGTGCCCAATGATGTCGAAGAGGCCCGGCTGGATGCGCTCGGGGATCTTGCTGACGTTGAAGAAGGCGGCCACCAGCAGCCAGAAGTAGCGTCGGTAGAAGTAGGCGAAGAGCGTGGGGTTGTGGCCGCGCAGGTCGAAGAGCAGGCTCTCCAGCATGATGGGGCAGGCCATGCTGAGCGGCATGACGAAGACGAAGGTGCGGATGGCGAAGGGGTAGGCGCACCACTCCGAGCGGCTGCGGCAGCACGCCACGGTGCACGCCACGGCCAGCGCGAAGGCCACGGGCAGCACCAGCGCGCCGTAGGCGGCCAGCGCGGCGCGGCAGTCCACGTGCCAGCCCAGGCGCTGCTGCAGGACGCGGCCGAGCGCGCGCGGCTCCAGCAGGCGCAGCCCGGGCAGCAGGTAGTACGAGTAGGCCACGGTGCTGGCGAAGCCGTAGTAGCTGATGGAGGCGTAGTCCAGGTAGAAGAAGGCGGCGCGCAGGCGCGGCGAGAGGCAGCTGAACACGTGCGCCGTGCAGCTCATGGCGAAGGTGAGCAGCACGCCCGACGCGTAGCACCACAGCGGCAGCAGCGCCGGGTGGTGGAAGGGCAGGTCGCCGGCGCCGCGCAGCAGCAGCAGCCGGCAGAAGCGCGCCGCGAAGAGCAGCAGCGGGATGAAGTGCGTCCAGAAGTTCAGCGTCTCGTTGGTGGGCTGCAGCACCGACGCCAGGCACTCCTGCGCCGTGCAGTGCAGCCGCCGGTAGCCCGACAGGATGTAGCACTCCACGAAGTCGTCGGGCACCTCGTCCCAGCGCAGCAGCGCGCCGCCCCGCCGAGGGAGCGCGGCGGCGGCGGCGGCGGGAGGGCGCGCCGGGCTGGGGGGCGCGGCCCCGGGGGGCGCCTGGCCTTCGGCGGCCCTGCTCGCCGGCATCGTCCTCCGCCCCTCTCGCGCTGCTGCGGCGACCGAGAGGCCGAGAGGCGAGCCGCCTGCGCGCAGCTGCTTAGAAAAGCAGCCGCGGCAGCGAGAGCCTCCCGAGCCGGGATTGTGATGTCAGCTCACAAAGGCAAAGCCGCTTTCGCTGCCGCCGCCGCCGCCGGGGAGTTGCAGTGGATTTGCTCGCAGGAGCAGCGGCGGGGGCAGCCGTCTCCTCCTCCGCCTCTTCTTCCTCCTCCGCCTGTTCCCGCATCATTCATTGCAGCACGGGCAGGCGGTGAGAAGGAGCGGCGGCGGCGCCCACCTCGCTCGCCCCCGGCCCGCGCGCAGCAGGCTCCTGCCGAAAGCCCCGGTGCGGCACGAGCATCGCGGTAATTTGAGCCTGGCCCGGCGCGGCTTGCCTGGCGTGGCCCGGCAAGGCGTCCCTGCCGGCTTCGGTTTCCCTAGACCCTCTGGGGAGAGAGTTTCCCCTTTCCCATCTGCGCCCTGGACGAGACACCGGAGCCGCCGCAGCTTAATGATTGATGTCCCCTCGTCGGGAGCAAAGACCGCAGTGCTTTCGGCTGTCTTAGGGCACCGATTAATTTGTAAGGGCGGCAGGAACATCCCGCCGCCCCGCCCCTCTCCCCCCCTCCGCCCGCCCGTCCCCTCCCCTCCCCTCCCCCCCATCTGTTCCTTTTTCTAAAGGGTAGGCGAAACCTTGCCCAAGAAAAGGCGGCTCTTCTCCCTCCCCACTCCTCCGGCCTCTCCTTGTAACCCAGTCTCCTCCCGCGGCTTACCTTGGAGCTCTCCGTGTAGCTTCCCGGCTCTACAATTGACCTGTACTGATCAGGGGGGCAGGAACCAGGGACTGACAAAGAGGCTTACCCAGCCGCAGTTCAGGTGCAAACAAAGGAACTCCCTCCCCCCAAAAATCAGGCTAACTTGCCCCCTACCCTGCCAAGACATTTGTGAAATGCATTGCATATTAAACACAGTATGTGATTGAACTGAATCCTGCGGCTGCTTCTCACTGACCACAGAGTTAGTTTTAAATAGGTTGTGCTTCTGACAGTTCCAAGCAAAGGGCCAAGGAGACAATGATATACTTCAAAGCACAGAGCACAGAGACTTTTTGGACAAAAGGGAGTGGAATGGCAAGCCCTTAGAGTAGGGAAGATGAGATTAGGATTTCTGGTAACGCCTAGCATGCTTTGTCAAAAGGTTTCCTGTGCCATGATAATTAACTTGTGGGACAGCACTGTATTGTGCAATTTAACAAAGGCATCATTTTAAATGATGAAACTGACTGGTATACACTGACCCCTATGCGTCGTAACATGAAAACCAATTCTTCTATGCCAGATGGGAACATATATCTACCTTGGGCACCAAAGTAATGGCCATTGTGTTGATGATCTGTGGGCAGATTGTACATTCATCAGCTGTGCAATTATGTAATCACTACAGTTATGTAATCAGAACATCAGAAGTGATGGAGGGGGAAAAGTATTGTAACCCTCTCTGGCCATTGACAGGTGCATACAGGAAGCTGAATTCAAAGCAGGGTCTGTTTTCTGGCAGGCAATATGGTCATTTTTAAAAGCCCTTATCTATTCTTTTCTTTCTCTCTGTCTAAAGAAACATACTCAGTCTTCTAAATCAATTGAGTAAACCAAAATCATTATGTTGCATTTTTATTATCCTGGAATATGATAGTCAAACATAACTTATCATTAGCTTCAAAGGGTTAGATTTAGCAGCAGTTTTAAAGCTTCTGCTAGTTGAAATAACTCATGAATAATAAACATGAAGATGTGTGTGTATGGCCAATTAATCATTAATTAGCAAGGAAAGACAGAAGGGTATTATTTTATAAACAATTGAGCATTTTGTGTGATTAGACATGCTGGCTGGTATATTTTGGGCAGCCAGAAACCTTGAAAAATGGCAGGTTGAACTGCTTTTACTCAGAATCGGTGTTTCTGTGACTCAAACTGCTCGGCTTTATTTTATTATATTTTATTTTATTTTATTTTATTTTATTTTGGGAACTTCTATGCCGCCCCATTCGCCGAAGCCTCGGGGCGGCTCACAATCATAAATGATGTAATATGAAACAATATAATTTAATGGTATAAATTAGAGCTCTGAATTAGAGCTTCAGAGTTTCATATCACCTGGCAGTCTGTCTTTACTCATTGCTGTGCTTCTCTGTGAGCTGTAGCATGACATGGTTTAGTTGTCTCTATGCTGACTTTCTCTGCTGTTTAAAGCTGGTATGTAGCAGGCTGTTGTAAACTTTACTGCTGTGCAGCCCTGCAGCACTTGTGCTCTCTCAGCACATACTGTTCTCTCAGAGACTTAAAAGCATTGCTGGATTATGCTGCGTATGCACATGCTCTTTCCCTGGTCCCTTAAGCCTCGGAGGAAAAGCATGTAGATAGCGGATTCCCCTTCCTACAGGGGAAGACTCATGCAGCCCAGTTGTTCGACGTCTGGTCCACTCTAGCAAGCTAGGGTGCAGGGTCAGGCACGTGCTCCCTGAGGAAAATGATGGCTGCCCCTCCAGTCAAGGGGACTAGCACCCAAGACTAGTGAAGCTATTCTGGTGCTTGAGGCAGACATCTTCCCCTACCTGCCCATAAAAGTTCAATAGTAGTAGTAGTAGTAATAATGAATAAAAATAATAACCGTTTGCCTCAGTACTCTGTCACTTCAACAATTCTTCCTTAGTTGCAGAATGGTTTTGCCCAATATTAAGGATTACATCTCATTTTAGTCCTACTTGGAGAAGAGTTACTGAAATGTATGGGACAAGTTTGACTAACTTTGGATACAACTGTAAAATTTCCAAAATGTCATCAGACAATTCCTGAATGGGACTGTATATTCATTTATTTTTAATATTTCCATTAGGAAGCTGTTTGAAACCTTGAGACTTATACTCTATGTGCATAATACAGTTCAATCCAATTAAACACAGGAATGACTTCTGTATCATGACTGGCTAACTGAACGGAGCTTCCAAAAGCCAGCTTAATAAAAATGTGCTGCATGCCTTTTGCTAGATTCTACAACTGACATGGAGATACTTCAGTAGGTGGGCCATTTGGCAGGAGTCTCTGCATTCCCTTGTTTAGGCATGATACATGAAGAATCATCAGTCCTAATGTAGAGATTCTGATGGAATTGCAATCCATATGCTAGAGCAGTTTTTTCCCAACCTGGTTCCTTCCTAGGTGTTTTGGATGACAACTTCCATAGTTTCATGCTAGCTGGGAATGATGGGAGTTATAGTACAAATTATCTGGAGGGCTTCCAGTTGTGGAAAGCTACTGCAGAGTACAGTACAATGTTCCCTGTTTCTCCTCGAGGTGACTAGTGCATTCAGCACCTTGAAACTATTGGACAGTCATCAAGGGCAACTGCATATGAATTAGGCTGCAATCACCTAGTCTTGAGGGTTCATTAGAGAAAGTGAGTATAAATGATATGGAAAGAATGTCAGATTAGGGTATGGTAGGAAGTTTACATGCATTCTGTATATTTATCTGGAGGCTATAACATACTATTTAGCATCTGCATGAAACTGCTGAATGGAGTCAACCAAAGCTTTGGTGTTGTTATCAGTATGCTGATGACATTCTCCTTTTCATTCTCAGCAGATGTGGCTGCAGCAGTGATCTGGATGCTCAGGATGGAGGGCTTGCCTCTGTTTGCACCTCTGAGTGGGGGCTCAGGGGATGGAAACAAGGAGGCTTTTCAGTGGTGTCCTCCCATTGATACAATGAGTTCCCACTAAGGTCTGCCTGATGCCAGCCTTATTATATTTTGGCACCTAATTAAGGCAGTCCTCTACCATAGGGCATTTAATTAATACTGGGACTTTGTTAGCTGCTTAAACAGGTCTTTTCTTCAACAGATTTACTTTCATTAAATTATTGTGCTTGTTATGTGTGTTTTAAATTTGGTTTTATATTTTTGTATAGTAACCTTTTAGTGATGTTTTAATGTAGTTTGTGTTTATATTGTATTTTTTGTGTTGTGGTAAACTGCCCAGAAAGCTTTGGCTGTTGGGCAGTATAGAAATCAATTAAATGAATAAATAACATTGATATCTGGCCTTTTTAGCTCTTACATGCTGGCTTGCATAGTCCTCTTCCACTCCAGTTTATCCTCACAGAAACAACCGTGTGAGGTAGATTAAGCTGAGTGTAAGTGACTGGCCTGAAGTCACCCAGTGAGTTTCATGGCCAAGTAGGGATCTCTAAACCCAGTCCAGTAGTCTTCCGTATGACAGAAATTTTAATGCGTGTCAAGCTGACCTGGCCTTTACAGGGTGTAAACTTGCATAGAGAAATGCATGAACCAGGTGATCCCCCTTATTGACTGGCAGCAAGGTGATGGCATCAGAAGTTGCTGTTAGCCAATCATTACTCTGTACACATAAAGCATGTTCATGCACATGAAGGTACTGTATGCTTGGGAACAGCTAGTACAGCTTTGCTATTGCAACATATTTTATTACTAAGGAAATGTTCTCACTAGGAAACTGTACAGATATAATATTTGTTATATTTTCTGAATAGTACTTGCACAGGTGTCTAACTTAGACATTGCACAGATAATTATCTATACTTGCTGAGTAGCCCTAAGCAAAAATTTGTTTACTACAGCAATCAAGAAGTGGAAAGCCTGTGCAGAACATACAAAACAGCTTGAAAGAGCAATGGGAGGTTCTGTAAGTAAAATCAAGTCAGACTACATATCACACAAGTCAGGTTTGGCTTACATGCATCTGCAACATATTACCCCAGTTCACAAAACCATATATTCCATTCTCTGGAATTCTCAGCATTCACTTGCAATTGCTGGCGTTCACTAAACTTTGTTCACTTATTGCAAGATACCTAAGAAGTTCCATTACTTTGACTGATCCCAAACAGACTATGAGCCTGTAAGATTAGGAGTACTGCCTTTAATTTGAGGGAAATGTTGATTTCATCCTTATGAACATATTTTGA